TTGGAACTTTGTCACTGTTGGTAGGAATTTAAAATGGTACAGCCAATGTGGAAAACAGTATGGAGGGTTCTTTAAAAAGTTTAAAAATAGGACTACATATGACCCAGCAATTCCACTTCCACTGTCTCTTTGAAAGCAGGATCTCAAAGAGATACTTCTGTGGTAGGCAGCTAAACAGAGATGGGCAGAGTAAGAACAAGGATGATGGGACAGGTACAGAAGGTCACCAGGGAGACAAGTCCAGGGTGACCCTTCCTCCCCTAGCATATCACTGGTCAATATGTTTAGATCCCCTGACCTTTATTCCCTAGAGATAACATCCTGGCCTCAGTTGTATTTCAGCTCCAGGCTCAGAAAAGCAGCAAAACCAGACAAGCAACACCAAGGCTGACCTTAGGACCAGCTGCACTGAATAATGGCCCCCTACCTTGGCACCAATCTATCAGTGGAGACCACAACCCTGAGAGGGCACATCTGGAAACCTGCTGAAGATTCTACTGAGATGTTCCCCTGGGACCTCCCCTAAAATCTACACCCTTAAAACCGTTAAAACTCAGGACTTAGAGTGCTCTCCTTCCCTGGAGCACACCCCTGCCTTTCCCTTCCTCCTCACCCTTCCATTCCCCCTGGCATGTCCCCTTTACCTTCCTCACTTTTAAGCTCCAAGAGCCCTCCTTTTGCCTCTGTAACTTGTTTCCTAAACCCATTTCTTCTATCACTCACTTCGTCCACCTCTGTGATTTTTCTAAGTAAATGTTCTCTCATAGTTTGAGTCTTGGCTCTGAATTCTTTCCCAGCCAGAACTCAAGTATTGATGTTGCTGACCCAGGTCCCGTCTGACCCCACCAGTCTAACACCTGGTGCTGTTACCCCCGTCACCAACATTTCTATACCCGTTCATAGTAGCATTATTCACAACAGCTAAAACATGGACGCAACCCAACTTGACCAATGAATGGATTATCAAAATATGACATATGCATACAATGGAATATTATTCAGCCTTAAAAGAAAGAAAATTCTGCAATATGCTATAACATGGATGAATTTTGCGAACATTATACTAAGTGAAAAAAGCCAGTCACAAAAGACAAATACTGTATGATTCACTTATACGAGGTTCTTTAAGTAGCTAAAAATCATAAAGACAGAAAGTGGCAGGGACGAGGTGTGTGTGGGGAGCAAGAATCGGGTTATTGTTTAATAGATATAGAGGTTCAGACCTACTAGATGAAAAGCATTATGGCTATGGGTAGTGGTTATCCTATATAATAAAAGCCTAATGTGCTAACTGTCTGGTCATCTGGTCGTCCATCCAACCAATCAAAGCATAATATGCTAATGATATGCTAAAGCCGCTCAACTGTTCACTATGATGTGCACTGACCACCAGGGAGCAGACGCTCCGACCAATAAGTTAGTTTGCTGCTGGCGTCCGGCAGATCAGGATGGACACACCCTGGAGCCCTCCTGTGGTCCCTCCCTGGCTGGCCAACCTCCCGTGTCCCTCCCCGGCCCCAATCGTGCACTGGTGGGGTCCCTCAGCCTGGTCTGCGCCCTCTCGCAATCCGGGACCCCTTGGGGGATGTCAAAGAGCTGGTTTCAGCCCGATCCCACAGGCCAGGCCGAGGGACCCCACTGGTGCACAAACTCATGCACTGGGCCTCTAGTGGCTGTATAATTGTTACCAGGGAATCAAACTTCCCCTGGGATCATGGGAGCGAGGGGGAGGTGCTCGGGGTACTGCTGAAATAAGAGCTCTCAGAAGCCCCCACAGGATAATGGGATGTGGAAAAAGGCTTTATTTGCATGAAGTCACATTGCTCGGGTTCCAAAGTTCCCTGCCCCTTAGCCAGCCCTGAAAAAAGTGCAGCTGGGGTTCCAGCAGTGTCAAAAGCAAGACCAGTGCCCAGAGTGTCTGCTCCATGGTGCAGCCAGGTGTAGTTCAGCATCCAAGCTAATTAAAATCCATTAGTCCGTTGTGAGAGTCCCACATGGCTGTGCGGGCGCAGGGGAGCACAGCCCCCTGCAACAGGAGTCACAGGTGAAAGAGAAAGAGAGCTAGACCTTCCTTTGTTTGGAAATTTAAATATTCAGGTTTCCTGCACTGGTAGTGGCCACGCCTACTCCAGCCCCTGACTCATTTAGCTTCCAGGTTTGACAGGTAAGCATCCTCCCATGTCACTCAGACCTTACTGGGCATGCATCTACATGTCCTTTATCTCGTCCCTTCCCCCATCAATCATCTGGGAAGAGACTTGGAGAATATTAGATGCAACTTTTTGGCAAAGCTGTATAAATGGCATGCCTATACTATTGGGTCTGCCCTTTCCTCCTTCCCTGTTAAATAATAACCAGGTTATTACAACGGCATCACAACAATGTACAGGAAACACAGGGACTTAAGGTTGAACCCAGGCCAGAAGGCACACGAAGTGGCCTGAACCAGGGGGCTGTGCCTGACAGCCAGCCAAGTTCAGCAGGTTCAGCCTTTTCCTGGAACCCAGCTTTCTCTGAAGCTCCGAGGAGCAACCAGAAAGACTGGTCAGCTTCCCTGGGACAGGGTGTCCAGCCCAGAAATAATGGCAGGATCCCAGGCCGTGACCAGAGGTGGGTGGAGGAAGCTGGCCCTGGGGAAGGAAAGGAGAGGGCTGTGGGGGTCCTGAGCCCTGTCAGATGGCAGGCTCCAGGGGCTGCTTCTGCCTACGGCAGTGCCAGGGGCTCACTGTGCCCAGCACAGGCCCAGACAGGACAACGCACTCGAGAACACTCGCTGAGCCAGCAAACGAGGCGGAGAGCCGAGGGTTGGGAGGTCCTACCCAGAACAGCTGGGGTGGGGCTGGCGGTGAGGGGGTGGAGGGCTCAACTATCAAGAACACACAACCTTATTTTCCTCTGATTTCATCATCTACAACCATGTGAGCAAAGGTCTCTCTGCCCGACCCTGGGGCGTAGAAGCGGTGCAGGGCCACCCTTCCAGAGCACTCCCTCCTCATTCCTCCCCGTAAGGCAGGTACCGTCTCCGTCCCGATTGTGAAAGTTGCCCAACGGTATGCTGTCAGTCAGAGGCACAGCTGGGACTCACACATGGGCATGTCCTGCCTCAGAGATTGCACTTTCAACCACTCTCCTTTCATCGGACAAATCTTAGTGAGCACCACCTGTGTTGGCAGGGTCCCAGGTGCTGGGAGCACAGCTGGAACAAACCCTGCCACAGCTCCCACAGAGCCCCATGGCCCCCACAGAGCCCCATGGCCCCCACAGAGCCCTACGGCCCCCCAGAGTCCCATGGGTCGCTGAAAGCCCCATGGCCCTCCAGAGCCCCATGACCCCCACCAGAGCTCCACAGTCCTCCTTGGGCCCCACGGCCCCCCCAGAGCCCCACAGCCCCCTGAGAGCCACACGGCTCCCCACAGAGCCCCAAGGCCCCCTGAGAGCCACACGGCCCCCCACAGAGCCAGGCAGCCCCCCTCAGAGCCCCACAGCCCCCTGAGCGCCACCCGGCTCCCCACAGAGCCCCAAGGCCCCCTGAGAGCCCCATGGCCCCCCACAGAGCCACGCAGCCCCCCTCAGAGCCCCACAGCCCCCTGAGCGCCACCCGGCTCCCCACAGAGCCCCAAGGCCCCCTGAGAGCCCCATGGCCCCCCACAGAGCCACGCAGCCCCCCTCAGAGCCCCACAGCCCCAGCAAAGCCCCACAGTCCCCCACTGAGCCACACAGCCCCCTGAGAGCCACACGGCCCCCCACAGAGCCCCAGGGCCCACTCAGAGCTCTCATGCTAGTTGGTGGAAGGGACAGACAATGCAAAGCGAAAAACCACATACAACCAAATAACATAAAGTCAAAATGAGACAAATCCCGTGGGGAAAAATAAGGTAGGACAGGGTGAAGTAGGCGCTGCCACACTTTTTCTGCAAAAGACCAGATAGTAAATATCTATGGCTTTGCCGGCCACATGGTCTCCCTCGCAACTACTCAACTCTGCAAAAGCAGCCTGGGAAATATGTAACTGAGACGCGTGGCTATGTTCCAACAAAACTTCATTAATGGACAGTGAATTTAGGATTCATTTAATTCTCACATGTCACAAAATGTTATTCTTTTGATTTTCTTTTCCAATCCACAGAAACATAAAAAAAAAAATTCTTTGCTTGCAGGCCACACAAAAAGGTGGTGGCCAGATTAAGCCTGTGGGCTGCAGCGTGACAACTCCAGGGACAGAGAGTAGCTGGCGTGTCTATGTGGAAATGTACTTTATTTTTTTCATGTTTAATTATGTTTCAGGGTCTGTATGGAGATGTACTTAGAGTGGTCAAGGAGGGCTCCGCAAGGTGACGACATCTGAGCAGGGACCTGCCTGAAGCAGGCAGTGAGCCCGCCACTCCCAGGGAGGGAGCAGCAAGTGCCAAGACCTGGCACCGTGCCTGGAGGAGAGGAGGGGAGGCAGGGAGGCGGGGAGGCAGGTCATGTGGGCCCAGGCCCCGGCGAGGACTTTAGTCTCAACGTGACAGCAAGCCTCTGGCACTTACTAGCTTTGTGACCTTGGGCAAGTTAATGAACTTCTCTGAGCCTCATTTCTGAATGAAGCGGAATAACAATGGTACCCATCTCAGAGGGTGGAAGGACCTGGTGAGCATAAAGCTCTAAATCAGTGATGGCGAACCTTTTGAGCTCAGCGTGTCAGCATTTTGAAAAACCCTAACTTAACTCTGGTGCCGTGTCACATATAGAAATTTTTTGATCTTTGCAACCATAGTAAAACAACTTATATTTAAAACAAAGACTTATATTTTTGATATTTATTTGATATATTTAAATTCCATTTAACAAAGAAAAATCAACCAAAAAAATGAGTTCGCGTGTCACCTCTGACACGCGTGTCATAGGTTCGCCATCACTGCTCTAAATGAATGAATGCTGCTGATATTAGTACTAATATCGGAGTCCAGCTGGACAAGGCAGGAGCTGGGAGAAGTGGGAACAGCTTCCGTCAGACTCACCCACGATGTCCACCACGTCGGGCCGGATGAGCGGCTCTCCACCCGTCAGCCGGATCTTGTCCACGCCTTCTTTCACAAAGAGCCGCGCAAGGGTCAGGATCTCCTCCGTGGTCAGCAGGTCAGCCTTGGGCGTCAGTGGGACCCCCTCCTCGGGCATGCAGTACTGGCCTGCAGGGAAGGAGCGTGGGGAATGATGACAGCAGCCAGGCCCATGATGTGCCCACCCTCACCAGGCCAGGACTTCCTCCTGACCCCACCTAGACACTGAGAAGTCTCGTCAATCTAAGGTGGTACAGACCCTGGGCCAGATTCTCTCCGGGCCTCACCTTTCTCATCTGTGAAATGGTAACACTCCCTCCCCACCAGTGGGGAGCTGAGGGTACAGGTTAAAGATAAGCCAGGTAGAGAGCGAGCCTGGTTGAGGTAGGGGGACGCCAAAATGCTGACTCCTCAGTGCTGGGCATGGCCTGCCCAGAGGGCCAGGGCCGGGCCCATTCCTTCTGGCATTGTTCACCCTCTCTCATTCATCTGGTTTGGACAAATAGCTACCCTTCCGTTTGTGCGTCATGGGGTGAAAAGGCTGGGAAGTACCCTCTGGCCTGGCAAAGCCGCTGTTCTCTGTGGCTACCACCAGCCTATCTACTCCAGATTACTGTCATTGCGGTTTAATGGGTTGGAGAACTCAGGTACTATATCAGGGCCAGGTAGAAGAATGGGGTAAAGGAGGTGAGCCCTGGTGGGTGAGGGCGCCATCCCCACCATCAGTTTGGGTGGTTCAGTGCTATCAAGGATTGGGACCAGATCTGTGAAAGGTCATAAAGGCTCCATAATTAGTCTTTTAAGACTGAATAGAAATGTTTGGTTCAACATTTACATATGCACACACATATTTCCTGGGCCATGAAGTGAACACATTTCTTACTGTGAACTACAGAGGAAGGGAGGGAGGGAGGAGAGGGAGGAGGGAGGGAGGGAGAGAGGGAAGGCCAGCAGATACACCCCCAGGGCAGTCCACGTGGGATTATGAAACAAGGACTCTGCATCATCTTGACCCAGATGACCTTGGGCAAGTTAATGAACTTCTCTAGACACTGAGGTGTCTCCACAGCTCAAGTGTTGGCCATGGGCCCTGCTGTGGGCCTCATGTTTATAGTGTCTAGCAGGGCACCCTGGCACATCCTGAACGCTGGGCACTGCAGGGCAACAGGAGGGAGGAAGAAAGAACCCTGAGGAGTGAGAGATGCAGATCCAATCTCAATCCCAAACACAACAGCAATTCTCTACTCGAATCTAATCCCAGGTAGAATCCAGCTTTCAGGATCATAAAACTCAGCCTGGACCCCAATATTGTCCTGAACCCCACCTGGCGAGCAAGGCAGCGGGCGGTGGGGAAGTCAGAGAGAGGAACTGGGGACACCGACAAGGAGCCCTGGCATGGGGAGATTTCGGCAGAGGAACGGGAGTGCAGAGAGGGCCCGGGAAGGAGACTCACATCGGAGGTTGCACTTCTCGGTGAGGGAGATCCGCAGGTAGCTGTGGTGGCGGCCAAAGCTGTCGGTGAGGAAGGCGGAGAAGGGGGCCGCGTGCTCCCTCAGGAACTGCCTCCGCCTGGACAGCTCCTGCAGGGACAGGTCAGGTCAGAGCAGAGGACACTTGCAGGAGTGGAGCCAGGGGAGGCCCCTGATGGAAGCCCTCTGGGACATCATCCCTCCCCATCTGTGCAGCAGCACCTCTCACCTTTCCAGCCATGTGGGTCCTGCAGCCCTGGGGTTCCCCCTCTCCCAAGACTGGCCTGAGGGAAGGACCTGCTCGGTTGGAGTCCCGCCCTGCAGGACATGCCCACCCCCGCCCTCACAGGAAGCCTGCCCAGGAACAAATATCTCTTGGACAGGTCCCTGGGACAGGGGGTCCAGGAAGGAGGCAGGAAGGAGCAGGTAACTGAGAGGCACCGTGGCGCCATCGCTGCATGGCTGGGACTTGGTGAGCCACCTCTCCAACCAAGGCCTCCCCTTCCCTCCCTTGACCATGGGAGGCAGAAAGAGCTCCAAGCAAAACCACCAACTCTGGGTGTCACACAAGCTGCCTCCCCCTTAACTATCTCCCTGTTGGCTGGGGTCACCAGGGCATCCCCAATGCCCAGGAGAACCCAAAGGGCCAAGCCACCAGGAGCAGCTGGGGAGGATATACACATGGGAGGGCTCCCCGCACACAGGCCAAGGGGCGAGGACAGCACAACCTGGGAGACCTGCAGAAGGAACGAGGCTCCCAGCCCCCAAGAGGGCAGAATGGAGGGGCCAGAATGATCGTGCAGAGATTACTCCAGTCTTTATCCTTCCCGACCCACTGCAGGAAGAATTACCCACCCGTTGTCTGAGGCCTAAGGGGAAGGAGGTTGCTGGAGGGTCCCTGGAAGGCCCAAACCCTGCTGGGGAGAAAAGAAGGCAGCCAGCCTCACCTTTTCCAAAGTCTGATCTAGTCTGATCTCCCACCTTCAGAGCAAAACCCTGGGTCAAGACAGATGCTGACGAGACCATTGCTCCAAGAAGGAACATTTGCAAAGCATCTTAAAGTTCCAAAGAATGTTCTCTGTTCAATTAATTCCCACATCTTCTCCATGAAGAATCCAAGAACACCCTTGGCAGAACTGGATTCAAATCCAGGTCTCTGATTCCAAGTTCTAAATCCCTTCCTCTGATGGACAGGGTGAGTCCGAGAAGATGCATGGGGCAGTATGAGGGGCGGGCGAGGAGAAGCCATTTCTTTAGAACCTTTAGAACAAAGAAATCATGACCTTGGCAGTCATCCCCAAGGCCGATGGGAAGGGCTCTGATGAGGCAAGAACCCTGGTTTCTGGGCCAGGTGTGACCTTACACCCTGGGAAAGCAAGCGCCCTAATTCCTCAAGGCCTGTTTCCCAGCTGTAAAATAAGGCGAGAATAATGAGCTGAGGGGGAGGGGAGGGTAAGGGAGGGGCCTGGGAGCTGGCCGGTAAACACCTAGGATTAGGATTTTGTAATCTAAGAGGCAGAAGGCCTCGGGCCCTCCTGAGGTCCAGGGTAACTTTCGCCTGCACCCAAGAGGGAGAAACACTGATGCCAGTGACCTCCTCAGCCCCGGCTGTTCTGCGAAACCACTTGGGAGCTTAACAAAAAAGTTCCTCTGGAGATCAGTGAATCTGATCTCTGAGCACTTGTGATTTTAATCTCTCCAGGTGACTCTAACGTGCAGCCAGGGCCAAGGGCCACAGCCCGACTCGGGAGAGAGAAGGGACAGGAGGAGTGAGGGTGTGAGGGTGTGAGGGTGTGAGGGTGTGAGAGGGTGTGAGGGTGTGAGGGTGTGGGGGTGTGGGGGTGTGGGGGTGCTCCTGTCAAACTGCCCTCACGCTGCCCACACTGAGGCCAGTTCCCCCTGTCCTCTGAGGAACCCTGCTCAGTCATGGCCAGGGAGCAGCAGTCACTTCTCAGAACTGCAGTCTAATACCATCCTAACCATACCTTCCTCCCTCGCTCCCACCGCCTTGCCAGCGGTAGCCTTGAGGGTGGGGTAGGGGACGCTCACAGCCAAGAGTCCCACTGGCCACCAGAGCCCAGGAGGTCAGGCACCTGGGAATCGGGATTCGGGGCAGAGTTGCACCTGCTTCTCCATCAACAGCTATTTGCAATTCATTAATTTGTCAGTCACCCCAGACCCCACCTCCTCACTTGCCAAGATGCCTCTCCTGACCCTCATGGTAACATACAGGGGAGGTGGCTGGGTGAGGGAGGAGCCAAAGTAAATCCAGGAATTGGGAGCAAGTGAGGACCAAGGAGTATGACTCAGCAGAATCAGGGAGCAAGCAGTGTAATGGGGCATCCACAAGGAAATGAGATGCTCTGTTCTGGCCAGGGAGCGGCAGGCCCATTTCCACTTTGCAACCTGGAGTGACCTTATCTAGGTTCATTCAGACTCTGTACTGCCAGCACCTGCCCAGCCTCCTACACACACACACACACCCTCTCTCTCCCTCTCCCTCTCCCACTTTCTCAGATATTAACAAGCCTCATCCCTGCCTCTTTTCTCCTCCAACACCGCATGTCCTACTTTTGTTCTTCTAGTTTCTTCCTTTCCCTTAAATCTCCTTGAGGAAAAAAATACCAGTGCCAGTCAAAGGAGCCCAGGGCTCAGAGGGCACGGCCACAGGCAGGGTGGCCAGCAATGCCTCCCCCAGGAAGGGCTAGACATATCAGAAGTAGAAAGCCCCAGCTGCTCAGATTCCTAGGGCCCCAGCCTGGACCAGGCTGCTTCCCGGGTGGGGAGCCCTCCTGTGGGACTCAGTATCCTGGTGTCTACACTACATGTCAGTAGCAAGTGGCAAACTGTGTCAACAAGCCAAGAGGCAGGCTCCTACTCCAAAGAGAAAGTTACACTGGGGTCATCACGCGTTTCCGGGTTGGCCTCTGCTGCCCACGTGGTGTGGGGTGTTACCGCGGCTCCCAACTCTGCTTGCCCGGCAGCATCACTGCCGAGCTTCTAGCACCGAGGCCAGAGCCTGCCCATGGTTCTGGGCGAGCTTTGGAGTTGTGTTTGTTTGAAGAGCTGGAGCTTTCTCCCTGCAGCCCGGCCTGAGGGCCACTGGCCCAGCCATCCCAGGACAAAGGCAGCAGCAGCTGGTTTACTCCGGGCTAGTGGCTGTGGTTCTAGCACAGGCTTTGAGAGCAGGCAAACCTGAATTACAAGCTTGGCTCTGCTTCTTACTAACTGCCTGTCGAGCTAATTCCTTAAGCCTTGGCTTCCTCATCCATAAAGTGTGGGTAACGTTTCTACCTAACGATGGGCGGTGTTCCTGGCACAGAGTAGGTATTACATATGCGATTCCTGCCATTTTCTTAAAATAACTCCTACTTACACGCATGCAACCATCAATCAAGCATTCTTGAGCAGCACTAGTTGTGAGTGCCGTGACTAGTTCTCCCACCCTCCCCGGTCCTGCGAGGCCCTGGCCTTCCCACCCACGGCTGGGACTTAGACCTGCTGCCACAGCGCCCAAGGCAGGACGGTGGTGTCCGATCCCTCCAGGACCACCGGTACCAGTGCCAATAACCAGTTCTCAGCGGCCTACCACCTGCTACCACCTGCCTACCTCTTGTCTCCCTGCCCAGGGCAGATTTGGGCAGAGTGGAATGGCGTGGGCCAGGGTGGTACTAAGGCAGCCAAAAAAAAAAGACTGTACCCTTTTATGTAATGATGTTTACTTTGAATTTATATTAGTTCACACAAACACTCCATCCATGCTTTTGTTCCGGCCCTCCGGTCCAGTTTAAGAACCCATTGTGGCCCTCGAGTCAAAAAGTTTGCCCACCCCTGTACTAAGGTGTTCCGTGCCTCACCTGGCATTAGTCACTTGGGCATTAGATTTCAATGGTAAAGGCCAGCCCCCGAATAGCTCTAGAGCAGTGATGGCGAACCTTTTGAGCTCGGCGTGTCAGCATTTTGAAAAACCCTAACTTAACTCTGGTGCCGTGTCACATATAGAAATTTTTTGATATTTGCAACCATAGTAAAACAAAGATGTATATTTTTGGTATTTATTTGATATATTTAAATGCCATTTAACAAAGAAAAATCAACCAAAAAAATGAGTACGCGTGTCATAGGTTCACCATCACTGCTCTAGAGTATACACAGGGTAGCAGGGTTATGCAGGAGAAAAAGCACGCGCCAGACTCGAATATCAGTGGCCCTGCCTGACCAGCAGTTTGCAATGATGTATACCCCGGGTGCCTCAAAATTAACTCCTGCCACGTGAGAGGACTTAGCACAGCGCCCAGCCCCCGGCCTCACTCCCTCCTCCCCTCATCCCATCCTAAGTGTGAGGTCTACACATCTACGGCTCCCTCTTCCCCTCACCACCCCCTAAGTGTGAGGTGTACACATCTCCGGCTCCCTCCTCCCCTCCTCCCTACCCGAAGTGTGAGGTCTACACATCTATTGCTCCTGGCGAGGAGTGTCACACTCCAAAGCAAAGCTTTTACAGAGCTGCCCAGGCTGGGAGTCCAGATAACACCCTGCTTGCCCTCTGTCTTCTTTCCCTCCACGTGTCCTGCCCCAGGCCAGACCCTGCTGTCCTTCCTACCTTCTCCTATACCCAGTTCCTTCCTCATAACCCGTCTCCATCATCTCTCCTTTCCAGCCATTTGCACAGCCAGGTGCCGTGGCCTTGCAGAGTCCCTCTCTCCCCTGCCTGAGGCTGCAGCCCCAGCACCCGAGACTGGTCCCCTGTTGCCCCAACAAAGCCCACATGGAGCCTGAGAGGGAGGAAGAGGGGTACAGTGCTTCTGGACTGGGGTAAGCCCTCTGGAGAAGACTGTCCGGGCCGTCCCAATCACAATGGCAGGTGGCCATCTCTCCCCTTCCACGTCCCATGTGCCCACGTGCCCACGTGCCCACATCCCCATGTGCTCACACGCCACCACTTACCCTTTCTACCTGTAGAAGCTGCTCAACCTGTCCTTGGACCAACCCCAAGGCCTCCTTTCAGCTAGCCTACAGCCAGCTCTCACACCCGCACCCCAACACAGAAATGTTATCTACCCAGTGACTTGCCCCTCTGTCTCTCCAAGCAACCCCCGGCCCCATCCCAAACCAGAGGGCCCAGGCCCTGTGCGGGGTGTGGGAAAAGGTACCCTGCAGGAAGGAAAGGGGGATAGGGGCACAGAGGCTCCCACCTCTGCTCCCGCCAACTGGCAGGCTCTGGGATAGGCTGACCGCCTGTGCCTCCAGGCTCAT